GAGTTTGTTGAATCTGACGTGACATGTTCGTACGAACCCTTTGTACGAACAAAAGTAAGAGAAATTTAGAATAAGAATACGAACATGTTCTTGCATGAGGCCCAATGATTCTAATAATATTGATGTAGTAGTGCTCTGTAAAAACTGCACTTCTAGAGCAGCTTAGGGTCACTTCAATTAATATTTCATAATACCCTTGTCAAAACAACTGTAATGCAAAATTGGTTAGTGTAGAGGTTCTAATAATAGTGTTTGCATAAAACACACCATGAAGTTTTAAAAACAAGTCTTTTTTAAGTTGACAAAATCCACTTTGAAATTGTGAGCGCATCCACAGCAGATCACAGCTGTCTTCAAACAACTCTAATCTCCTAAATATAAGAACACATATTAAACCTTAACTTAGCTTTCAGTTTAATATTACATGGTTGTTATGGCTGAATTGTTAAGAATTGTCCTGATGCATCTCAGTAATCCAGGTAAAAAAATCAAAAAGAAAAAAATTGTATAGGTCTTCTGGACGGGTTCTTCTCTAACGAAATGTTTCGTCTCTCCTCCAAGAGACTTCTTCAGTCTGAGAGTTTCAGGCATGCCTGAAACTCTCAGACTGAAGAAGTCTCTTGGAGAAGAGACGAAACGTTTCATTAGAGAAGAACCTGTCCGTTAAGAATTGTCTGCTAGAAGTGCTTCAGGTTGAACCAGGGGCAAAATTTATGAGCGGCGTGTCAACGATGTTTCACGCACACATCAACATGGATGAAAACAAACGTGTGACAGTGTGTGCAATATACCCCTCATCTGTTCAATATTCAGACATATCAGATTCTCCTACACCGCGGCTGAAACGCTCTTGTCAATTTGCAGCCACCCATTTCTTAACATCAGCTTTGATGTTGGAGCACTATATAAATGTTTTACATTTTAGGTAAAGACCAGAATTCAAATCCTGTTTTGCAAAACTGATTGCTGTGTGAAGGACTATGAAATAGCTTTTGCGTAAACGTAGTTGAATTTTTGAGGCAGGTTATGTTTCAAAAACTGCTAATTAGCTAGGTCAGACATTTACTTTACTTCTACTTTAGTTTTGAAGGTCAAAGAAAAAGGCTACAGAATTAAGTTCTTTTAGTTTTTAATATCAATTTTGTGTGTTTGTGAAGTAGAGCAACATCTGTTCAGGAGCAGCAGTTCATGGAAGACAAGAAAAGGAAAAAAGACGAAAAAAGGAAAAGAGAAGCCTCTCAGAAGGTGAGCATGGTTATATTTACATTCTTATTTCCTCATCGTGACTTAAAATGTACTTGGATTTAATAACTTTTGTGATGAGACATATAAAACGCCTTGGCCCTGTTTACACAGAGCTGGCTTTCAGTGAAACCGCAACATTTTTGTTGGAATCCAGCCATTCATTAACACATCACTAATGATTGGAGTCTCATATTTATACATACAGCACATCAGCTGTTTGGTTCAAAATATAATGATTTTATAGGGACAGTATACATTTTACTATTTCCCATCTGACAACCCTGCCTGGTACATTATTGCATTGGTTCCATGTAAACGGGTGATTTTTGTTTATTCGTCCCAATAAACATTGAGAAAAAAACACCAGCATTTCTGGAGATTGGTCTGGTGTAAACAGGGCTTAAATATAAAAAGATTTATCTGGTGCATGAAGTGATGTGGTGGTACTTATGATGCAGTGTAAAACTTGGCTCACATTATTGCTTAAAGTAATTTAGAAATATTCTGATTTTCATCCTAGGTTGCAGAGCAAAAGAACAAAGGTAAGCAGAAATGTTTTATTATGATTTTAGATTAACATTAGGCTTTACTTGACAAATTTTTAAAACCTTTATTATTGTTTATTTGCATTGTGTTTAAAATCACAATTACATCGTGCTTGTTAAAATTTATGCCCTCCTTTTTGAGTCATTGACACCTGTCTGTAATTGTCTTTACTATCATACAGGAGACTTCGTTCCAAACTAAAACCATGTGTTGACCTGGTATTAACATACATTCTGGTTGATGCAGTTTTAAGTGGACAGCTTTATATGCAACTGTTCATATCTGCCTACTATTAAAACAACTTGTGAATATATTGAAAATTTATAGTGAGGATTGCTTGGACTGCAATAAATTATAAGCCATTATATTTCAAATACCATGCATTCACATTCTGCTGCTAATAATAAATAAAATATTTGGGCAGTCCAACAGATCAGCAGGTTTACTGATACTTCTGTAAAATCACAAATGCATTCAATCACCTAAGTTACGTAATTATTCAGACATAAATATATATATTTTTTTGGATCAAGTTGCAAATAATAGTTATTTCAATTTTGATATGCTTAAATATGTAGCATAAATGTCTTATTTGTTTAAATACACTTTAAAGTTTGGAGCCTTTAAAACTCAGATGACTCCCCCTTTTATTCCCCCTTAAAACCAGGTGAGATTGAGGTGATGGGTTTGCTGTTCGTGAAAAGTCACGTCAGGTTGAGGCTGACCTTCCCTGTGGCTGACAACATATTTATGTTCAAACTGTTAAATAAATGTGGAGTGAGCCATCATGTCTAAATGCATTCTTAGTCTGTGATCCAGTCACCCTGGATTCATGTTAAGAGTCAGGTCTGAATGAGGCTTTAGTTCAGCAAAAACTGAATTAATTTGTACATTATTTTTAGGTATTCTTAGTGAAATTGTTTACTGTAATTTTTTTCCAACAATCTTTCTTCATATTTTGTCTTTTCTTCAGTGCCAGAATTGACAAAGCCAACTTCAGCCCAATCTCCTGCCTCTCAGAGCAGCTCTGCATCCCCCAGCCGTGGACCCACGCCTACTGCCTCTCCATCCCCTGCAACCTCAGGCCCAGGCAGTGCTGCCACCCCGTCTCAGGGCGGCAACAATGCTAAGCGCCTGGCAGTGGCCAACGGACAGCCCACCTCCAGTAGTTCTTCCTCTACTGGCGGACCTAGTGCTGCTGGGAACGGCAGTACAAGTAGTGGAGGCGGAACTCAGGCGCCTCAGCAGCCGTCACGATACATGCCGAGAGAGGTGCCGCCACGATTCCGCTGCCAGCAAGACCATAAAGTGCTGCTGAAGAGGGGACAGCCACCACTGTCCTCCATGCTGCTGGTAGGAGGAGGAGGGGATGATTCGAGCTCAAACGGGGCTGCTGTTTCAGGTGAACATTTGTATTGCATACATCATAAGTTGTAGTTCATTTGCATGTTTGAGCAAGATACAAAGTCCCCAGTTAAGTACCCAATTGCAGTGTCAGTGTCATTTAAGCACTCTGCTTTTACTGATTTATATCAGATTGTTTTTTTGTGTTTTTTAGATTCTGGCATGGCTACATCTTCATTGACGCTCACCTCATCAGTTGCTGCTTCTACAACTAATTCTAATTATGCAAATTCCATGTGGGGGCCAAGCTCAGGCAGCCAGGCCACCTCTCAAGGCAGGGAGAAGGTCATTGTTGATGGCAATGATCTCGAGGAGTGGCCGAGTATACCGGGCACTGATGGAGGAAACAGCAGCAACAATGGAATGCCTGTGAACAGCGTCAGTGCCTCTGGCAACCAATCTTCATCTACTTCATCTTTCTCTTTGCCCAATGAATGTATGCAGTCATCCAACAGCGTGGTGTGGGGAGCGACTGCCTCCCAGGGTCATCTTGGAGGAGGTACTGCAGTAGCTGCTGCTGGGTCTCTGCTACAACAGTCCTCCTCACTTTCCAAAGCCTCCACTGTGCCAGGGAGCCATGATGCCAGTGGCCCTATTGATCGTAGCAGTGGGATTCCAGGTGCCAACTTCAGTCCAAATGCCAACCCTTCAGCCTGGCCTGCCCTGGTGCAGCAGGATGACCCCGATGCTTCAGGGGAAGAAGGTCTGACTTCCTTTCATCACCAGAGCTCTGGAGGGTCTGCCATAAACTCTGCTTCCTTGGGGCTGGGAGGTGGGGCAGCTGGGGTGCTGGGAAATCACCCATCTATATCTGTGAATCAGTCAAATGCCCATCAGCAGCAACTTCACCAAATGCAATCCAGAGACTTGGGAGGGGGGAAATGGGACAATGAATCAGCGGGACCAAAAATTGCGGGTGGGGGAGGGTTTGGAGGAGGGATTGACCGTGGTATGGGAAGAAGTGGGATAAATGCAGGAGAACCAAACTCGGCCACCTCGTGGAGAGGCCAGCCTCCCTTCCCTGCTGCTTACTCCAAAACAGGTGCCTCAAAGATTGATGGATGGGAGAGTGGAGGAAGTGGGGGTTTAGGAGCTCTAGAGGGTGATAAAGAGACTTCAGGTTGGGGATATCCAAGTTCCACTAGTGGAGTTGATGCTTGGGGCAATGTTGAAAAGGAGGGAAATGATGGTCAAACCTCCAAGGCATCTCAGGGAGGGTGGGGGTCAGGAGTTGGAGGCGATAAAGGAATTTCTGGTAGTGATTGGGGTGGGAACTCTGCCGGCATTGGTGGAGCAAATTTAGGAGGTGATGAAATCGGGACCTGCAGTAGTAATAGCAGCAGCAGTGGAGGAAGCACAGCGGGCAACCCACTTCCCACTTCCTCCACCTCTTCAACAGTCACCACTACAACCAGAGCCTGGGACAATCAGAAGGGAGAAGGTGAAACAAGAGAATGGGGTGATCGATTAGAAGGACAGGGAGCACTAGGAGGGTCTTCATCTAGTGGTGGAAATTCCAGGAGTGAGAGTGGGTTTAATAATAATAATAATAATCGTCTTCGCCGACAGGCACCTACAGCTGAAACTGCCTTACAGAGCCTGCTTAGTCGGTCTGATCTAGACCCTCGAGTCCTGTCCAACTCAGGCTGGGGCCAAACACAAATCCGACAAAACACATCCTGGGATATTGATGACTATGCAGGACACAACAAAGGTGGACATTCATCAGCACCATCAAAACCCACATCGTCTCATGGTGGGCCTACTCAGTATTTTAGTGGCCCTAAGACCCTAAGCACTGATTCTATGGGTCCAGGGGTCAATCCCTCCCTGCTTCCTTCTACTGGGTCTTCTGGAGAAGGCTGTGAGAACAGCAGCAGCAGTGGGGCCTCTTTGTCTGGGAGAGGCCCACCACCTACATGCAGCAACATGAAGAATCATGGTGTCCAACAATCTGGGCCATTGACCACAACCGCTCCTTGTATGGGGTCTGGGGTAATACCAGGGCCTAGTCAGCAGACAAATGCTACAGGCTGGGTTGGAGGCAGAAATGATCCTGAGGCCAAGGGTTGGTTGAATGAGGAATGGAAAGGCAGCAACAGAGGAGAAAAGGGGGGAGGAGGATGGGGTGATATTGGGAAGCAAAGTGACTCCATTCGTGGAGGCTGGAGAGAAAGTCAGCAGGAGAAAGGAACGGGTGGCTGGAAGGAAATGGGAGGGAATGGAGAAGGAAGTGGGTGGGGAGCAGAGCAGAAGGTTGGCACCAGCAAAAACTGGTTAGAACAAGAGTCCAAATCAAGTAACAAGGGGGGAGCTTGGGATGACGAGATGAGAAATGGAAGACGCTCAGTTGGAGATTCAGGTGTAGGTGTTTGGGGAAGCTGGGATGACAGTGCACCTCGAAGAACCTGGGGAGCAGGGGGTACTGGAGTAGGAGGCAGTGGAGGAGGAGTTGATGGAGATGGAGACACGGGGTCCAAACCTCACCATAACTGGAGTGGAGGAAGCAAAATGCACCAGATGCCAAACAGCCAGTCGGGCTCTGTTTCAGGCCCACAGGCACAACTGCAACAGCAACAATCACAGCCCCGCAATCAGCATCCACAGCTGCAGCCAGCGTTGGACCAAGGGGCTATGCAAGGGGGTGCTGGGAGGAAGCTCATCTCTCAAGCCCAGTCACAGAACCAAAGCTCAGGCTGGACCTCTGGACCTATACCTGGTGGTTCCAGAGGAGGTGGCAGTGAATCTGAACCAAGTGGCTGGGAGGAACCCTCACCGCAGTCTATAAGCAGGAAAAGTGAGATTGATGATGGAACGTCAGCATGGGGAGATCCAACTCATTACAATTACAAACCAGTCAACCTGTGGGATAAAAACAGTGGACCTGCTGGCCAGCAATCACATGGTCAAGGTCAGCAGCGGCAGCACCAGCAACAAAGACCTCCTGTGCAGCAGCAGCCCAGCAGGCAGACCACAGGCCTTGGAGGCAACAGAGACCTGAATACTGCTCAAGGATCTGCAAAACCTTCTGTTATGGGTAAGAAATTAGATTTTGGAGTCTGTTTGTATTTTGAGTTTTGGAAAATTTTTCAGTATTGTTTAGTCATTCATAGGACTAGGAGTTCTTGGGTGTCTACCTAGACAGGAAGCTTAACTGGAAAAGACACGTAAATGAAAAGTGTAAGTGTGCATTCACCAGTGCCGTAGAATTGCAGATAGTTGTTGGGGTGCTACCCATCAGATGGATCTATACCAGGGGTGCCCAACTTTTTTGAACCAAGAGCTACTTATGAAGTCGACAGTTTGCTGAGAGCTACTCGTCCAGTTTCAGTATAAAAAAAAAAACAACATAATATGGTCTCCCTACTCCTCACTTCTTTAAAGTAAATAAAACAGAACATAATGTGTTGCTAGTTTTATTTAATTTAAAGTATTGTCAAACAAAACTATCTACTTAATCATATATTTACCTACAAAAATAAGAAAAGATAAAATCCTTACTTAACTCCTGACAGGGAAACAGAAAAGTGATGCTTGAACAAAAAGTACCATTTTTTAATCTCCTTCAATTAGTACTCACTGTAACGTGCGAGCTATGAGGGCTGGAAACCCTTTCCAGTGCGAACCACAGAGTCAAATAACTTTGGAGCACGGGAACTCGTCTCCATTTATTCAAAGAGCTCTCCTCCCTTCTCTCCATACAGGGGAAGTAAAACAAAACAAAAGAACTATCAGGGTCAACATGGCTACCACAAGAGTACCGCCCTTTTTTTCAAAGTCAAAGCACACAATATAAAACACTCTCGCAGGCGGCTATAAAACCCGGTGCTGAGCTTCCAGGACCAGTTTCACCTGATCAGATCTGTTCCTTTTATTGCCTGGAACAGATCCACGAGGTGGGTTTCTGAATTTTATGCATTATTGCAGAAATATTAACCGCCAGTGATTCAGGGGGCAGGCTGTTATAAAACCCGGTGCTGAGCTTCCAGGACCAGTTTTACCTGACCAAATCTGTTCCTTTTATTGTCTGGAAGAGATCCATCAGGGGGGTTTCAGAATTATGCATTATTGCAGAAATATTGCCCGGGGGCTTTTTTGCAGGCAGGCGGCTATAAAATGGTAAATGGTACTGAACTTATAGAGCGCCTTTCAAGTCCCTCCGGACCCCAAAGCGCTTTACACTAACAGACAT